TAATTGCAAGTATATGGATATATGTACAAAAATGCTAAGCCAATGGAAAGGCTAAAGGATAGATCTGGTGTTACTAAGATCATGACCCCACAGGTCATCTAGTTCAACTCCCTTAATTTACAAATGAGAAAACTGAATTAGACTGAGACAAATCTTGGTAAACTTTCCGGAAAAAGTGAACCTGGAATAGACTTGAAAGAGTAGCACTTCACTTCATTAAACATTTAGCATTTTCTATGTGCAAGACTCTGCTTGGTTTTGGGGATACAAATTAAAAAATGAAAAAGTTTTTTCCTTTTAGGGAATTTACATGAGGGGTAGAGATAAAACAGGTACACAAATATGTCAATACAAAATAGTTTGAGGAGGAAGCAATACTTCTGAAAAGGTAAATCTGGGGACCTGAAAGGATATTGGTCTTCTCAACTGAAACCTAGTTCACAGGAAATGGTGAAGACATATTAAACATGAATATATTTAATTTGTAGTGAATAACAAGTTTCAGCTTTCGTGGCCAAATTGTCCATAGGCATAAAAGATAAGTTTCTAGTTTAAAATCTCAAATGTTAATATTAGCATTTGGTAGTGTTTATATATAAAAGTGAGACTGACCAATATGACAAGGACATAAGATTCAGTATGTTTTAAGACTACCATGCGCAACTATTTAACAAAAACTGCTGGGAAAACTAGAAAAGAGTATGGCAGAAACTAGGCATAGACCAAAATAAAGTCAAAATGGGTTCACGATTTAGATATAAAGGCTGATACTGTAAGCAAACTGGGAGAGCAAGGAATAGTTTACCTGTCAGATTTATGGAGAACTGAAGAATTTATGACAGAAACGAGATAGAGAGCATTATGAAATGCAAAATGGGTAATTCTGATTACATTAAATTGAAAAGTTTTTGCACAAACAGAACCAATGCAACCAAGAGTAGGAGGGAAACAGAAAAATGGGAAAGAATTTTTGCAACTGGTGTCTCTGATAAGGGCCTCATTTTGAAAATATATGGAGAACTAAGTCAAATTTGTAAGAATACAAGTTATTCCCCAATTGATAAATGCTCAAAGGATATGAACAGGCAGTTTTCAGATGAAGAAATTAAAGCTATCTATAGTCATATGAAAAAATGCTCTAAATCACTATTGATTAGAGAAATACAAATCAAAACAACTCTGAGGTACTACATTGCACCTATCAGATTGGCCAACATGACAAAACAAGAAAATGATAAATATTGGAGAAGATGTGGGAAAATTGGAGCACTAATGCATTGGTGGTGGAGTTGTGAACTGATTCAACCATTTTGGAGAGCAATTTGGAACTATGGCCAAAGGGCTATAAAAATGTGCATACCCTTTGACCCAGCAATAGCACTTATAGGGCTGTATCCCAAGATATCATAAAAATGGGAAAAGGACCCACATGTACAAAAATATTTATAGCAGCTCTTTCTGTGGTGGCAAAGAATTGGAAATTGAAGGGATACCCATCAATTGAAGAATGGCTGAACAAGTTGTGGTATATAAATGTAATGGAATACTATAGTGCAATAAGAAATGATGAGTAGGTGGACTTCAGAAAAACCTGGAAAACCTTGTATGGACTGCTGCTGAGTGAAGTGAGCAGAACCAGGAGAACTTTGTACACAGTAACAGCCACACTATGCGATGACTGACTTTGATAGACTTAACCCTTCTCAGCAATGCAAGGATCAAAGACATCTCCAGAAGTGTCATGATGGAAAATATTATCCACATCCAGAGAAAGAACTATGGAGTTTGAATGCAGATTGAAACATAGTGTTTACTCTTTTTTTTAATTCTGTTTTGTTTCCTCTTTCTTCTGGTTCTTCCTATTGGTTCTAATTCTTCCTTACAACATGACTAATGTGAAATTATGTTTAATACGAATGTTTATTTCAGATTGCATGCTATCTTGTGGAGGGAGACAGAGAGGAAGGGGGAGAAAATTTAAAACTCAAAAGCTTACAGAAGTGATTGTTGAAAGCTAAAAATAAATCAGTTAATAAAAAAAGATTACCATGTGCAGAGTAACCTAGCAAACCAGCCCTCATTCTATACTATTTGGTTCCCTTTAATTTAAAAGAAAAAAAAAACAAATTAAAATCCTTTTTGAATGGTAAAGTTATTTGGTAGAGTGAGTTTCCTCATTTCTATTATCCATGAAACCACAGGTATAGTCTCTAGTCTATTCCCTACAATTATTTACACCTTGAGTGGCAACTAAGTGATATTTTGTTTTATGAAAGTTTTGAAGGGAGTATTGGTATGTTGGTTTTTTTTTAGTCATCATTCCAGTTCTTGGAATTTGTGGCCCTAAACTCAGTTTGTTTCTCCTGTTAAGAGAATAACTTTGGTCATTGGGGCCTTTCTAAATGCTCTACTAATTCTAGGCAGTACATCTTGAAGAATGAATAGCACTTGCATGTCTAGACTTTGAAAAATATATACCTAGAAGTGATACTTTTTTTTAAGGGGGAAGGCTAGGCAATGGGGTTGTGACTTGCCCAGGGTCACACAGCTAGTAAGTGTTCTGTGTCTGAGGCTGGATTTGAACTTGAGTCCTCCTGACTCCAAGGCCAGAGCTCTACCTAGCTACCCCAAGAAGTGATTTTTAGAAAATTTTCTGTGTTCCTGACCTATTCTGTCTGTCCTCCCTGTGCCTTTGAACTGGCCATCCCACATACTTGCAATGCACTCTCTCCTCACCTCTGCACCTTATAGTTGTTCCTCTCTTCCTTTATGTTTTCCGTTAATACACAGCTCAACTGCCACTTACTACGTGAAACCTTTACTGATGTCCATCCCCCCCAACTGCTAATGCCTTGCGTCTCTAATTACTTTGTATTTAGCTACTTTTTATATATTATCTTTATGGTTATTCTGTATACACTTACATAAAAACTTAAATTGCCTTCTCCGGTAGTCTAAGTAGCTTTCTTGATAGGAGAGATTGTTTGAAATCTGTTCCAAATACGGTTCCTAGCATATTATAGGTGGCTAGTAAGTCTTACTTGCTAATTCACTTAGTTTTCAAAGTTAGATCATGTAATGTGTCCTTTTTTCTGGAATTAATTTCATATTCCTGTTAGTATACAGAGTATGAAGGAAAAGACCCTAGAACTCTAAGCATTTTGTTGAGATGTGAAGTTTTTTTTCCCTCACTATGAAGTTGAGTGATAGTACAGATGACTCAGCATAACTCTACTGTACTCATGGAAACACAGTGGAGAACAAAGGCCTAAATGCCAGTGGGTGAGCACAAATGTATTTGTGTATGTGAATTTGTTTAGAAGTTTGTGAGCCAGGGATTTCACATTCACTGTCAGTATGTTTTTTATCTGGTTTAGTTTTTGTTGTTGTTGTTGTCGTTGTTGTTGTTGTTGTGTTAGGCATTTGGGGTTAAGTGACTTGCCCAGGGTCACACAGCTAGTAAGTGTCAACTGTTTGGTCTGAGGCAGGATTTGAACTCAGGTCCTCCTGACTTCAGGGCCAGTGCTCTATCTGCTATCTAGGCACCACCTAGCTGCCCCTATCTAGTTTAGTTTTAAGTGAATTAATAATAAAACTGTCTTTACTAAGTATAATAAAACCTCATTGTAACATTGTTTATAGTTTGGACATATAAATGGATTAAGACATGTTCTTCTTAAACTCACAAGCTGCATAGAGTACCATCTGAACCCATATAGTGAGTATTAGATTGGTATTTCCATGTGAACATCTCAAAGACATTATACTTTCTCTTAATTTTCTGGGCATCTCCACCCCATACTGAGGGGTCTGTACCTCTCTCCCTTCTGTGTATTGTTTTTCTACCATTAATGTATGCTACTTGAGGATAGAGACCATCTTAATTAGTTGTATTTGTATCCCCAGCACTTGTCAAAGTGACTGACACTTCATAAGCATGAAATAAATGTTCTCTCTATCCATCTGAAATGCTTTTTCACATAGGCAATTGTAAGATATTTAGTCTTCTTTGAAGGATAAATAATACTAAGAGTGATATTTTTCAAATTAAGCTTAATCCAAGAAATAAAATATGTTGTTTTATGTTCAGCATCATCAAAAATTCCTTATTTCAAATTCTGACAGAGATCACAACCCCATGCATAACTGCGTAGAAAGCTTCTTCTGTTACGACCCAAAAAATTCATCCTGATCTTGGTGGTCCATCCTCTGCTGAATTTTTCTGAGTTTAGCAGAGTTGGTATTCAAGTGCTAGAGTCCATCTCAGAGTCTGCAGTACAAAGACTACATTGTTTGTTTCACATTCACACCCCATTCAGTTGTTCACCTAGGCTGTTTATCTGCTGCTAGTGCACACCGCATGTATAATCCCCATCTACCAGTTGCTCTGGGGACAATAATAATATTATCACTTCTGGAAAGGGTGTGTTAATTAGCCGCCCTCTGTATTCCATCGACTCATCTTTGTACTCGTCACACAACAGATGGCATACTGTGTTCTCCTCTAGGTAATACATTTTAGAAAGGATATCAATACTAGATGACCATCTACAGAATGATGACTAAGATGATATTGGAGCTTCTTCATAACATAAAAGGGTCAGCTGAACAGACTGAAATATTTAGCTTGAATAAAGTAAGACTTAAGAGCATGAATTGGTCTTCAAATATTTGAAAGACTGTCATGTACAACAGGGATTCGACATTTTTCTTGACCTCAGAAATAGAAGCAGCAAGTTAAAGTCTAAAGATGTCAGTTTAGGTTTAATAGAAGGAAAGTTTCTCAATCAGTCCCAAGATTATAATTAGTATGTTGTAGTTTTCGTGTTTTATATCTACCAGGTAGCTTCCAGTGGCATCTTGTTTATGGGATTTATTTTGTCTCACAGGCAACTACTGTTATCTTGTCTGTATATAAGATGCACTGATGATGTCCCACATTTGGGAATAAACTAAATTGCAGTTTAATAAACTGTTATTTTGCTCCTCTCTTTTTCTAGAGTCCAGTAACAGGACTACTTTCGGCCAGTCATGAACAAAAAGATGCCTGGGTTAGAGACAACATCTACAGCATCCTGGCAGTGTGGGGCCTGGGAATGGCATATCGGAAGAATGCAGATCGGGATGAAGACAAGGCCAAGGCATATGAATTAGAACAGGTAATGATTGGTGGTAGTTACTGTGAGCCTACAGTTTGATTTGGGCTAAGACTTTATGTTAACATAGTATTTGATTGTTACACTGAAAAACTTCAACAAATTAATCATTTTAAATAGTTTATGGTTTGTATGATTTCCCCAAATTTCTCCTCCCCCTGAACATTTCCCCCCATTGTCTACTGCACTTCTCCTTTGGCCAATGCTTAAGGAGTTCCAACCTTCTTGTTTTTCTCTTTTGGAGATTCTTTTTCTCATTGCATCTAAAACCTCAAACAGAATGTGAAACAAATCTCCCAAATATGTGCCTAATAAAGACTGATTTTTTTTTTAATGCCAGAATTTACTTACAAGATGTAGCAACTATACAAAGAAGTATGGTAAAAAATAAACTCCTGACAATAATAGGAAACGTGAGAGTAATTTCATGTAAGCTTGAAAGGACCCCAGAAGTCATCTGAAATTTGTGCCTAAACAGGAATCCCCTCCTTAACATCCAACGATCATCCATCTTCCATTTGAAGGTTTCCGTTGATAGGGAGGGAGCTGAGAGCCTCTTGGGAGAATTCTTTCTCCTTTTGGAAAATTCTAATTCTCTTCTGTAATTATGTCTTTTTCTATATCGAAGTGGCCAGAGCCCCCATTTTACATCTCTGACCTTGCCTCCAAACTTCTGAACACCACTAGAGGAAATCACACCATCATAATAACAGGGTCCACAACACATTCATGTTATCTAATTTCAAATGGGCTCTCACTGCTTTTATCCTTCCCTGATCAAATCCCTATCATATTCCCTATTTTTGTTGAGAGTATATCAACCTTTCCATGTGGTTTATAAACTTGGTATTATCCTTGACTTTTCATTCTGTCTGATTCACTGTCTCCCATATCCCATTCACTCTATAACATCTTTATATTTGTCCATGAGTTGCTATCATCATTTAAGTGAAGCTAGCATTTAAAAATAAGCACAGCTGAACTTAAGGTTGCATCTTACTCCTTCATGAATGTTATTACTCACAAAAGGGAGAGCCCAAGAAAACTTTGATTGATTCTATGCATTTCATAATGTCTGGTTTTGGTTGTTCTGTAACCTGGCTCATAATAAGGACGTGTCTGTTTTTTAGGACTTTTAAGACTACAAATGTTAGTCTAAAGAACGAATATTTATTTTTTGCTAGGAATGGCTGTCATCAAGAGAAAGTTGTAATTCCTTAAAGAAAAGGCTCTTCTGTTCTTCCCCAAGGATCAAGCCTCAAGGCAAGTCCCCTTGCCTGTGGAAACAGTAGTTGAAGAGAAAATGTCTTAATACTGTTTTCTGCTTACTTATCTATTACCATTTCATAATTTTGCTTACCTCTTGGTAAGTTTTTCCAGTTTCCACAATTGTGATAATGCTCATCTGAGCCCAACTGGAGTAATTATTTTGTAGCACTCAGTTTCTGTAGATAACAGAGTTCTGAGTACTAAATAAAGAATGAGTCTTTTAATGCTATGTTTAGTTCTGGTTCTGGTTTTTAGTTTTAGTTTGGTTCTAGTCCCAGAGAACTAGAAAATTACAATATCCCTGATGTTTATGCTAGATATTTGACTTTTTTGTTAAAAAAAAAAATGGAGCAAAATTTGTGAGCCGTCTTTGAGGAGCAAATTGCTACCTGCCCCCCAACCCCACAGTGATGCTAATACATGGAACTGACACCTTCTTCACCCTCCACTCTTCCTGCTCTTTCCAGCTGATCTGAAGCCTCAGACGTTTGTGCTGCTTAGCTAGCTGGTGGAAAAGCATCTCTTGTCACAACTCTCTTGAGACTCCTGGGAGTTGCCGCTAGCCATTTAGAGGACTACTACTTCCTTCATCCATCTTAAAGCCAAATCACTCTGGCTCTCACTGATTGGCCAACAGTAAGTCCCAGCCCAAGCCTCACTTGGTCATTATTTGGGCTCTGATGCTCAGACTGAGTATAAATAGCAATTGTTTCTGTTTTGGCCAGAAAGCCTAAGGGTCTTCCACTCCTAGATTGATTTTTTTTTTTGACCAAGTAAAAGAGACTATTCTTTCCCTCATTTCTTATCTAGCCTGAATGAGTGTTGCCTCAGACAAAGCGAGACTGGGAAGGACATTAACTTAAAAAAGCCAAGGTCTCCCACTGCATTCAGGGCCATCTTCAGTCATCCAGATCTGTATCTTGCCACTGGACCCAGATGACTCCTGAGGAGAAAGTGAGGCTGTTTTGCACAGCCCTCCCTCACTTAAATCCAATTCACTTGCAAATCTTGATATCACCTCCTTGACATCACAGTCCTCACAGAATGAAGGACACACAACCTCTTTCCCTACCTCTATACTGCTTAGATAGCTGGTAGAGACAAATCATGAAAAAAAATCTAACGAACATCCCATCTCACCTTTAGTCTTTCTGAGACCTTTGTCATTCAGTAAACCTCATTAGGTACTCCCAAGTTCAATGTGTATGGCCTGTTTTTCTTCCCTGGGTGTGGAAGTTTATCACAGAACATTTAGAGGGCAATTGTAACTAATACAGGAAGCTGTGTCAATAGGATAATCATATTATTTTTTCTATTCATGTTAATAGGAGAGCTTCATTAATTCCCCCTTTATGAATTTCAGCTCACTCCAGAAGGAATTTTAACTCATTTGGAAAAAGGAGTAGGTCACCAAAATAGATATTTAAAAGTTCAATAATCTTGTCAAGTGTGATTTGTTCTTTAACTGCAAAGGTCAGGAAACTCTATGCCTTAGGCTGTCTTCCTGAGGTTTTGTGGCATAGAAAATTCATCACCTGGTGGCTGACCTTTTGTTGATGAGTCTTCCCAAACTTAGCTAGGCTTGTCATTGGTCAACAGACATAAATCTGTGCTTGGACCATATTCAAGCTATTACTACTAGTTATTACTTAGTATATATGCAAGCTCAATAATAAAAACCTTTCAGGAACATTGTAGGCTTCTGAAGTATACTGGTTTCTTTTTATGGACACTTGTATATAATTGCCCAGTGGCATTGTTGAGGTTTAGGGGTGCTGAGACCCCAAAATCACAACACATGGGTCCTGCCCGAAAGAATTTGACCCAAGCCTTCTTTCAGTCAAAGACAAGATTTATTAGAACATCCATCATATTGGGCAGACTCTTAAGGAGTCTGAAACCTAGGTAAGGAGTGGCTAGATTTTAAGAATCTCAGCAGTGGCTAAATTTTAAGAATCTAAGCCCTGACTAGATTATAAGAATCCCAGCAGTGGCTAGATTTTAAGAATCTAAGCATCTTAATGGAGACAAGATGGACCTTATATACAGAAAGACTGTGGGAGG